CCTTCGCCACGCCCCTTCTGTCGCGCCACGCCCCCGCCCCAGCGTCGCCTTGGAGCCCGCAGTCTGTGGACCGAAGCGCGAGCGAAGGAAACCTTCCTCTAAGGTGTAGGTGTCCGGCTTTGCGCGCCAGTGACAAGTGACCGAGACAAGAAGGGAGGAAAGGCCAAGCCCTGGGTTTACCCAAGGGATGCGTCTTAATAAGGGGCCAGTGTGGGAGCCGAGGGAGAGGGGCGCGCTCTGGGACACCCGGGATGAAGCGGTTGGGCTCCCGACCCCCACGGCCAGCTTCTCCCCGGCAGGCGCCTCCCAGGGCGGGAGCCCGCGGCACCAGTGCGGATCGGGTTCCAGTTGCGTCTCGGCAGGAGCTCAATTAGTTGGGTTTGCTTTGGTTTTTAATAACAAAGCGGTGAGAAAATTTGGGGATGTGAGCAAGAAATTGTCTTGAGGGCCGGGGAGGTAGCTCGGTGGCGCCTCGCCTGCCTTGAAAGCGCAAAACAAAGTTAAAAAGAAAGGAAAGAAATTGACTTGAGGGATTCTACAAAGCGCCACTGGGGAATCGTGATTGAAGGAAAGTAAACATTGTAGTATTAATATCCGCCGAGTCGAATCTACTCAGTAAAATCAGTTACAGTACACTGTGGGCTTTCAAGAGAGGACTGGGGAGATGTTTGGGGTGTGGGAGTCAGATATTGTCTTCATAACAGTGGACAAGGAAAACAACCACAAAAGAACCAAAGTCAATCCCTGGTACGGAAAAAAATAATAAAAAAGGAAGAAGAAGAACCAAAGTGAATTCTTAAAGGTACGAATTATGCAAGGAGATTTTTTTTTAAGGTAAAAATCAATCGTGTTTGAATTTGTAAGTTGAGGGCACATGCTTACTTCCCTCTTTCTTTTCCCAGAGAAACACTACTAGTAATAGCAATCTTACATATTTATAAGCCCTTTAAGTTTTCAGTGCAGTGTTTTGTATTTTAACTTCTGAGCCAAAGGAGAAACTCTCATTACTTCTCTAATATCCACAGTGTCAGTGGCAGATGCTAGCCCACAGAACATATTTAAACATTATTTTCAAATCAATGTGTACCTGTACATGCTTCTCGCCTTTTCTGCCCTATACAGCAGTGTCTTGGCTGTTACTCCACATTCACTGGGATTTTGGAGGACAGGAAGTGTGTGAAGTGATTTTACAGAGCCTGTAATTAAGAAAAATCAAAGAGCGGGGCAATTCAGTGACTCAGGGAGACCCTATCTCAAAAAGAAAGAAGAGGGCCGGGATTTAGCTCAGCGGTTCGGTGGCCTGCCTTGCAAGCACAAGGACCCGAGTTCAATCCCCTTACCAAAAAAAACAAACAAACAAAAAAGAAACAAACAAACAAAAAAGAAAGAATAGCTTGGAATGGAGCCTGTGCAAAGACTTCCTCAGCATTGAACCAGAAGGTGGGGTGGGGGAGAGAGAGAGAGAACACTGCTGACATCTGAACTGAGCTTCTGCTCCCACTTAGCCCTTCCGTAGAGGGCCTGGGCTCCAGCACATTGCTGGCACCAGCGTGTACTCGAGAGCTCGCAGACGGGCGAGGGTGCACTCGTGTGTGTGTGTGTGTGTGTGTGTGTGTGTGTGTGTGTATGAGGAGTCCTACGGCTCTGCTCATGTGTCATCATCGCTCTCCCCACTGACAGGACTTTGCAGTAATGGGCCAGGGATTTAGCTCAGTGGTTCCACCACCTGCCTCTCTAGTGCGAGGTCCTGAGTTTGATCCCTGGTACCAAAGGTCTAACCAGAGCAGAGCATATGCATACCATTCCTAAAAAGGCTCAGGCTCGCCTCAGAACAGTGGCTGATTCCAGGCCTAGGATAGGGAAAGGATGGGGGTAAGCTCATTAATATTGTGTTCCAAAAAGACAGACAGCAGTCAGAACATGGTGGGGAGGAATCAAGACAGCACTTTAGCCCAGAATGCCGGTGCACACCTATAATCCCAGCACTGAAGAGGCTGAGGCAGGAGGATTGCCATGAGGCCAGCCTGGGCTCTGTAGAGAGTTCAAGCCCAGCCCAAGAGGGAGCACTTTAGCCATTTTAAAGGGGCTTCCACTGGCTGCTTGGGGCATAAATAGTGTCGGGATAAATAATGAGACCTGGGCGTGGTGGCTCAAGCCTATAACTCCAGCACTTGGGAGGCTGAGGCAAGAGATCACTGTAGAGTTCAAGGCCTGAACTACATAGTGAGACCTTGACTCAAAGAAAACAAAAACACAACACAGTAACAAGATAAATGATAGTAATAAATTAAGGCCCATATGAATCAGCGATATAATCAAAACTTTGTTTTGTTTTGTTCTGTTTTGTTTTGAGACAGGATCTCACTATGTAGTTGAGACTGACCTGGATGGAACTCACTGTATAGCCCAGGCTGGTCTTGAACTCACAGAGATCCTCCTGCCTCAGCCTACCAAGTGCTGGGATTACAGGTGTGAGCCACCATGCCCCACTTAATTAAAGCTTTATGAAGAATAGGATACTTATAAAACTTCTTCACAAATTACTTAATGACCAAAGGGAAAATAACTTACTAGCTGGAAATTCTAACAGACACGCCCTTCATTAAGCTTCCATTAGTAACCAAAGAAAAGTGTGTCCCTGATGTCACCATGGTTGATTTTCTGCATCAACTGGACTGAGCCACAAGATACCACACCTCTTGCAGTATCTCTGTGCCTATGAGGGCGTCTGGAAGCCATGAGTGTTTGGATTTGGGGCCTGAAGGAACCAGGCAGCCTCACCAGTGTCAGCAACATCCAGCAGCCCTCCGAGGGCCAAGGGGAGGTCGGGCCGTTCCTGCTCCTGCTGGCCGCACTGGACCTTAGATGGTCTCTGGGCCTCTCCGCCTCCGGGCCATTCCTGGCTGCAGACCCAGTGCTCCTGAACACCCAGCCTGCACACAGGGCTGGGCCTTCTTCCACCGTGCCAGGAGCCAGCCCCTTCCAGTAAGTGCCCCTTCCTGGGCACACATCTGCCTGCTCTGCCTGCAGCCTGTACTGTTCAAGTGTTCGAGCCATTAGACAGGAGAGGCTCTCTTCCCAGCTGAAGGGTGTCTGAAAGGCAGGAAACTAGAGACTAGTGGATCTGTTTGTTTTTTTGTTTTTTTGTTTGTTTGTTTGTTTTTGGTTTGGGTGTTTTTTTTGTTTTGTTTTTGTTTTTTTGTTGTTGTTTTTGGGGGGTTTTGAGACAGGGTCTCACTATGTAGTTGAGGCTGACCTAGAACTCATTATGTAGCCCAGGCTGGTCTCGAACTCACAGGGATCCTCCTGCCCCAGCCTCCCAAGTGCTGGGATTACAGTCCTGTGCCACCACACCTGGCCGAGACAAGTGGATCTGAAAGGGGTGCTTTTGCCCCACAGGAGATCGGTTTAGCGCCTAGTATGCTCACTGGGATTTGAGGACTATGGTAGCGATGTCCAACATCGATGACTGTATTTTTCCAGTTGTATCCAGAAGGATGACAGCAAACTTACTCATTTGAAGGAAACACAGTAAGGGCTTAGGGACATGGGCATCACCTGACAAATGACTCGGAAAGGGGGGTTTCTACAGCACCTGCACTTTTTCTGTAACTTTTGTTTAAAAAAAGCTCTTGCCGGGCGTGGTGGTGCACGCCTGTAATCCCAGCACTCGGGAGGCTGAGGCAGGAGGATGGCTGTGAGTTCAAGACCAGCCTGGGCTACATAGTGAGTTCCAGGTCAGTCTCAACTACATAGTGAGACCCTGTCTCTAAAAACCAAAAATTAAATTAAATTAAATTAAATTAAAAAGTTCTTTTTTTTTCCTTTTTTTTTTTTTTTTTGTGGAACTGGGGCTCGAACTCAGGACCTTGTACTTGACAGGCAGGTGCTGGCACCACTGAGCTAAATCTCTGGCCCTCAATATTTTTCTTAACTCAAAAGGTATAAAAATTTATTTGAGAAATCATAGCATAGTCAGGTATGGTGGCGCACACCTATAATCCCAGCACTCAGGGGGCTGAGGCAGGAGGATCACAGAGAGGTCAAAGCCAGCCTGGAATAGATAGTAGTTCAAGACCAGCCTGAACTGCACAGTGAGACCCTTTCTCAAAACAACAATACAGCAACAAAGAGGAAATCATAGCATTAAACTTTCCAAACCTATGAAGAAGATTCACTATACAACTGTAAGAGGCATACAGAACCCAAAGAGCCACAAGCAGTAATGCATTGGAATCAAAATTCCAGAAACAGCACCAGTGGAGAACACTAAAAGCTGCTAGAGGAAAAATAGCAAGAAAGTAAATCGAGTTAGGGAGAAATAACAGAAAAATAGTGAGAAAAATATAAAAAGAACCAAAGAAAGAACCAAACCTCCATAAAGCAAACAAAGTAAAGGAAGATGACTGAGGGAATTCTTCTGTGCTGAGGTGTTTGGGAAAATAATTTCTCTCCGAGACTTGTGGTATTGAAACCCACTAAGTGGCGGGGATGGAGAGTGAGTCACGTGTGGGCCTATTTTGTTTCCATGCCCACTTTTTAGTGTAAGAATTCTCACTGCTGCCCGCACTGGGAAACGTGAGAGACGGGAAGGGTGCACACGGTCCGCACAGTGCAGACACTTCTGATGTCCCGCGTGTCGGGTCCAGAACGTAGTTCACAGGAGTGACGTGTGTCTGCCCGAGTCACCTCGTTCACCCAGCACCCACAGGTGAAGGGGGGAGAGGTTTCCTCCTGCTTAGGGCGCGTGGTCAGCCGGCTCTGAGGTGGGCGGCCTGGCCGACGGGCGAGAGCTCACGGCGCAGCGGCGCAGTGAGGCAGAAAAGGAGCAGGAAGAGACGGCCCCTTCCAGGCGGTGCCCCCAGACCCAGGCCCCACATACTTTGGCTATCAGCTCATCGGTGCACTAAACTCACCCCTCAGGGTCACACCCCCGTGATGCAGTCGCCCCTGAAAAGCCCCAGCCTGAGCACAGGGGGCTTGGAGGGGTCGTAACGTTCGGCCCCGGCCTCCCATTCAGTCCGTCCCCAAGAGTCGCCCAAGTCCTAGTCTCAGCACTGCCGAAAAGTCCAAGTCCAAAGTCTCCTCTGAGATTTAAGGCAGACTCTTAGCATGAGCCCCTGTAAAAATCAAAAAGAAACTTAAATACTGCCAACATACAATGACACCAGGTAAACACTGCCATTTCAAAAGGGACACATAGGAGGATAGGAAATGGGACCAGCCTGCCTGTAATCGAAGCACTCAGGAGGCTGAGGCAGGAGGATTGCTGTGCATTTGAGGCCAGCCTGGGCAGCATAGTGAGTTTTGGATTTTTCTTTTTTTTTTTTGGATCAGCCATTGAACTCAGGAGCTTGTGCTTGCCAGGCAGGTGCTCTACCGCTGAGCCACATCCCTGGCCCTGCATAGTGAATTTAAGGCCAGCCTGAACTACACAGGAAGATCCTGTCTCAAAAAAAAGTGGGGGAGAACCAAAGGAAGACCAAAACCCAGCAGGATAAACATTAAATTCTGTGGCTCCGTGTCCGGCACCCGGGACTCATGCACGGCCCCTTCCTCTCCTCAGCCTGTGCCTCACTTGCAGCACAAAACAGCAGCATTTCCTGCACAGGACCCACACAGCCCGAATAAGACCATGAGTTAGAGGACCAGCGCCTTCTTTGCAGCAAACGCTGTTGTTCTTGTGACGATGATGGCCCCAGGCACGCGTGCCCACCTGCAGGCTGGTGGTGAGGGTGTCCTGGCCCCCGGGTCTGCGTCCTGCAGGCCCCGGCCCGTCCTCATCTGTCACCGCGTCTGCATCCCCCAGAAGCGGCGGCCTCCTGCCCGCGGTCTGAACCACTGCTGCCGAGTCTCAGAGTCTCACAGGTGATTAAACCCAGGGCTTCACACGCACTAGGCAAATGCTCTCCCACTGAACTACGTTTCCCCCGGAAGCGGCGGCCTCCTGCCCGCGGTCTGAACCACTGCTGCCGAGTCTCAGAGTCTCACAGGCCGTCGTGCAGTGTGGAGGGTTTCCATTCCTGGTGCGGCCGGGCGCAGGGACGGAGCAGTTTCGTTTCTTTTCCACGCCCTTCCCTCCCCCCGCCCTTTCCTCTCTCCAGCCCTTTCCAGTTTGAAAATGATCCCGCTCCCTGCTTACCTCACCTATTTGATATTGCAATTTATACTTGGGCTTTCTCATAGGAGAGAAACCGAGCGATATCTAAGCTTGTGTGTCCGATTTATTTCACTTAACATTATGAGGGGCTTTGTTTGCTTGTTTGTTTTTGGTACTGGGGATCAAACTCAGGAGCCTTGCTTGCCAGGCAGGCGGTGGCACCACTGAGCTACATCCCCTGCGCTCTGTCTTGATAACAATCATTGCCAGTCTCTCCCTCTCTCCTGCCCCTCTCGTGTGTGGTGCTGGTGATTAAACCCAGGGCTTCACACGCACTAGGCAAATGCTCTCCCACTGAACTACGCTACAGCCCTCTTTACTTTTCTGCCAATTTTTGACAGGATTCTTAAGTTTGAGTTCACACTTTCATAGGGCAAAGCAGGTCTTGGACCCCAGCTCCAAGACTACGGCAGAAGAAGAGGCCTCAGCTCAGCTGGGGACCCCGAAAGGCAGTGGGGTTAGCAGGGCACTGCCCACGGCCACAGGGACACAGCAGGCAGGAGGAGGCCTGGGTCGCACGGCTTCAGTGAGGTGCCGCCCTGGAGAGTTCCGTCAGTCAGACTGGGAGCCCAAGAGAAGGCAGGACAGGCTTTGTCCAACAGGACTTCTTTTCCTTTAAGAAAGGAAAAGACACCTAGGGCTTTGTAGCTGAGTTGTTCCGCTGCCTGCTCGCAAGTGCAAGGTCCGGAGTTCGAGCCCCCAAAAAGAAAGTTACAAAGAAAAAAGACGTGAAAAGAGAAACAGGCATTGAGAGGTGTCAGAAATGCTTCTGGTGTTCTCGCGTTTGAATAAATGGGGAGAAAACAAAATCAACTAAGTAAAACTCTCCAGACGCTTAACAATCCAGTAACCAACTCTAAAGAAAAGAAACAGTAATTGCAAGGAAATAAATGAGATCTTAAGTAAAACTGATGGGAACTAAGAAGTGCTTGACAACCTGCGAGTTACTACAGTGCTTAAGACGGTCGTATAAAAATCAACAGCCAGGAGCGGTGGCGCACGTTGGGAGGCCGAGGCAGGAGGATCACTGTGAGTTCGAGGCCAGCCTGACACAGCCGCTCCGCGGTCTTTTCTTCTTTAGCCCTCGCCTTCCCCCTTTCTAGGCAGAGGATTGATTGCCCTCCGATAATAAGCAAAACTAGCAAAATAAATACTAAAGACAATTGTTTCTCATCATTTCTAAGACCCTAAGAGCTTCAAGCACAAGAAGCTGAACTTGTGCGATGACTGATCGCTGTTAAAACTATTTTCCGAAGTACAGCTAAGTTTATTAGGATTCGTCTCCCATTAAGTCCAATTTCTTCTTTCAGAACTAAGTTAAATTCGAATTTGAGAGATCTCACCCACTAGCGCCCCGCGATCTTAAGCGTGTTTGGTTAGGAAGTCGCGTTCTCCTGCGCCCGGTATTTTTTCACACCGCCCACACTCGGCCTCCGCAGAAGGAAGCCGGGCTGCAATGCGCGCTCTCACCACAAGGGGGAGAGAAAGCACAAGGAGTCTCCGACCACTCGGTGGGGGACCCTTCCTCGACTGCCCACTAGATGGCAACAGAGAGGCCGAAGACCACCTTCGCCCATTCAAACGCACGAATGCGTAACTTTAAAAAGCAATTTAGCAATCCAAACTCGGGGGCAAATGGCTCGCCAGCTGTCTGCAAGTTCTTACTCCAGCTGTACTGCCGTGTCCACGCTCACGCCTCGTCAACTGAAATCTCACCTAATAAAATGCAGTTTATTCTGAAATAAAACAGCAAAACCTATGAGGTTCGCCTAGTGCCGCTCATAGTGCAACCTGCCCAAAATACTATGCAAAAGAATCTGAAATGTTTAAACACGAGCAGCCTTCCATGTATATTTTTTCACACCGCCCACACTCGGCCTCCGCAGAAGGAAGCCGGGCTGCAATGCGCGCTCTCACCACAAGGGGGAGAGAAAGCACAAGGAGTCTCCGACCACTCGGTGGGGGACCCTTCCTCGACTGCCCTAGACGGCATACTGAAATCTCACCTAATAAAATGCAGTTTATTCTGATATAACACAGCAAAACCTATGAGGTTCGCCTAGTGCCGCTCATAGTGCAACCTGCCCAAAATACTATGCAAAAGAATCTGAAATGTTTAAACACGAGCAGCCTTCCAAAGTGATTTTGGATTTGTTTGCAGGTCTGGATCGCCAAGTCACCTAATAAAATGCAGTTTATTCTGAAATAAAACAGCAAAACCTATGAGGTTCGCCTAGTGCCGCTCATAGTGCAACCTGCCCAAAATACTATGCAAAAGAATCTGAAATGTTTAAACACGAGCAGCCTTCCAAAGTGATTTTGGATTTGTTTGCAGGTCTGTGGATCGCCAAGAATCTAGATGAGTCCAGCCCGCAGAGGAGGCGCACACCTTTAATCACAGCACTCCGAAAGCTGAGACGGGAGCCTCTAAGGAGTGTGAGGCCAGCCTGGGCTACGCTGTGAGTTCAAGGTCAGCCTGGACGGCACAGCGGGACCCTGCCTCCAAAAAAAAAAAAAAA